TAAGTTTTGACAGCTGTTTGTTTTGGAGTTTTTATTTTACCTTTTTGCGATCTGTATACTTCAGAATGTGCTTTCTGATGTATTCTTTACGTGCATCAACCATCTGTGTCTCTATCACATCATATGAAATATCCCCCATCACTAAAATTAACGTAAAATCGGCGTTTTTCGAAATTTGGTCAGAGAAATTCAATGCAAAGTAATGGCGGCCTACGAGTGACTTTGCTCACCGATCTCCCACAATGCAACAGCGACACGCTCTTTTTTGGAATTGGTGATTCATGTATTAGTTTTATGGAACTCAACAAATATAACTTACTTCCGGAAGTGCATGGAATCTCTCCAAACCATAATAAGACCAGAACCTAAACAACCTAAATGATTGTGACTTGTCATTTCAAATACAAATTATACCCTAGGTGTAAATCATATAGACATCTAGGTTATTTGGACGTCGACACAAATCGTGACTACGTAATTTACAACGTCGCTAGAACCCCGAAACACGCGTACTATTTTGACGTCGCTACAACGCCAATGTTATGTCAGTTCCATTAACAAGTTTAAGTTTAAGTTTATTACATTTAATATAGCGCTCATTACTGCAATACATGCATCCAATGGCACTGTACAATTAAAATAAATAATTTAGTATGTACAAGAATATAAAATATAGTATATTAATAATTAATTAATCCTTGAAGGTCCTTTGGAAAAGATACGTTTTAAGTGATTTCGTGAAACTATCCTGAGAGTTAGAGTTTTTTAAGCTGTCGGGAAGATCATTCCATAGCCGTGGACCGGCAACACTGAAAGACCTGTCCGCAAATGTTTTTCTTTTTGTGGGTGGAACGTATAGTGACTGACTGTTGGAAAATCGTGTCGAATATCGGTTGGGATTGGGTTTAAGTAAATCTATCAAGTACTGGGGAGCAAGTTTATTTAAGCACTTATATACTAGAAGCAATAGTTTATATTCTGCACGAGCATGTATAGGCAAAAAATGAAGTTCTTTCAGAGCATCTGTTGAACTTGAATATTTTGACAACAACTAAACTTTAAAAGAAAAGAAAAATCACAATGAATTTTCTGTGATTATGAATTAACATTTCAAAATACGTTAGAGACATACCAATTATTTTTGGTTTTATTGCTATAACATCTCATAAGAAATCACAAATAGTACGGAGGGCCTGGCAAGAAAAGCTGTCTAGTCTTTCGGATGGGACGAAAAACCGAAGCCCCGTGTACAAATTGGCGTGCACGTAAAAGATCCCTTGGCAGTTGGAAGTCGATATAAGAGCAGGCCGTAGCGCCGCTGCCCGGGCAAAATTTCCTCCCTCATAGCACACTGTATGGCGTATGCCCGTCTTCATTAGCCCAGTTTAGGAGCAAAACAGTAGAACGTTAGACCCCATTTCATTTCATTTCATTTCACAAATAGTATATTTGCAAGGACATATAAATAGGTTCATCCAGATTTTCCGGCGTGGTTCTCCCTTGTCAGTGATGCAGGGCGGAGGGGCTGACAAGGAAAGCTGTCTAGTCGTTCGGATGGGACGAAAAACCAAGGTCCCGTGTACACATTGGCGTCCACGTAAAAGATCCCTTGGCAGTTGGAATTCGATATAAGAGTAGACCATACTGCCACTGTCTGGGCAAAATTTCCCTCATAGCACACTGTATGGCGTATGCCCGTCTTCATTAGCCCAGTTCGGAGCAAAATAGTAGGACGTTAAACCCCATTTCATTTCATTTACATATAAATAGAACCCCTAGCTAGAACTAGTGGCTCAGTAAGTATGACACTACCTCACTAACCAGTCAAGCAAGTTTCCGCAGTATGTAATACTGTGGTCTTTGCGACCATATTGTATCTTTGACTAATTATTGGATTCACATATTGTATAGAAGTCATATCTCACTGACTATGTCCTTTCCATTGTCAAAATATCCAACAAGTACTATCTTGTTTATAAATGTGTCTAATAGACCAAATAAGGTAATGTTCTTCTCCCGGTCGTCGGTGAATGTGGGGGCGGGGGTGTTTATTCCATATTTGGGAAGGAAATTAACACCCAAGGTCGGTCTTTGACGTATAGAAAGTAAGGGGTTATAAAAGAGGGTGAGGAGCGAAATTCATTAGAGCTCACCCAGTCTGTCAGGGCAGCCATCAAAAGCAAAATACACTTTATTAAGAACGAGGCACATTGGTGTCAAGCGACTTTAATAATGAAATTGTATAAACGATTAAAAATGTAGTTGTAATTTCGATCACGAAGAAAACACAAGAAAGAAGTCCAGCAGTACTACAAGTTTCCTCTTGTCAATGGAGCAGGACGGGAGCCTATTAATCAATAGCGTCCAATGGGATGGAAACCCGGGGTCCACCGGTGCATACGTAATTGAAAACCTTAGCAATTGGAATTCAACGGAGAATAGACGAAAACGGACATTTTCTTAAAGATACATTATGTAAGATTTAGATAAAGATCTAGCCATTCTTGCTATAATAGTTCGAAAGTAGATGATGTAAAATGAATAATTTGAAAATTCCATTCAAATTACTCTATTACAAGCGAAGATATTAGCCTTTGAAGGTTTGACAGACGTGTGCAATAATTTTAACCACCGTACTGGTTGATTGAAGCTAAGTCTCGGTCCTCCATATTTGATGAAATCAAAGTATCGTTGAATCATTCTAATCTATTTAATATCGGAGAAATCTGGTGCCATCGAGAGTTGATTAAGGCCTGGATCAGTTAATTAATGTCTAATTAATACTTTAGAAAACATTTCAGGCCTAAAGAGAGACCTGCAATAGGCAGATTTAGCTCTTGCATAATGCATCTTTAATCACATTGGATGGCATATATCTATTTTTATAGGCCGGTTTGGGCTGAAAAGAAGGGTGTTAAACTCCAAGTCTGTGAGCTATATGAAATGGTTTGTTCGTTTGTAAGGTTTTACGTCTGCTTCTAGTTTGGGTGATATCGCCGACAAATGTTCCCTACGACACTTGCCAGATAAGTTACATAGTAGGCTTAGTCGAGTCTGGAATTAGTGGCTTATTTGATCGCGTGTTTCCTAAGACACTTGTCAGAGAAGTCACATAATAGGCCTAGTCGAGTCTGGAATTGGAGATGCCAGATTGATTAGTAGGCCTATTTAACCGCTAGGTTCCTACTATCACGATTCGTGCTGCGATTGAAATCGTGGTTTCAATCTTGGAGTAATAGTAGTGATCCTCTCGGGTCTCATCATATATTGAGGTCAGTCGTAGCAATCGTGTTGATCGTATCGAAACGTATTCGAACGTATTTGCACGTACCCGATTGTCGACTCAATATGGACAATCCTATCGTAGCACATCGCACGAGAGTGGGAACCTAGCATTAAATAAAGACACAACATTTTTGCAGGGTAACGTCCAAGGTAAAACAATCACCCAAAGGAGTTCTTCCGGGTATTAAATGTAAGATGGCGAGCATGCGCAGTCAGGCCAACGTTGCCATCAAAACTATTATCTTGCCCAGGCTGGGGTCGTAGATCTGTCAAGCTATATGAGATACACGTGGCAGGTTATATAACCAAATCTAATAAATTGGAAAAAAAACGGTAAATAGAACACGCTAAAGCCTAATGATGTTGTTTTATATACATTGATAACAGCCTAATTGTCTACAAAGCCGTAAAGCTCCTTGGATTTTAATATACCAATTTCACAAATTGTTCTTAACCGACTAATTTCTCAATATTATAGTCTTAATGGTGGTTTTATGGCTATGTTTATCAAGATTACTCCTATAAAGCATGAAGATATAGCCCACGAACGAATATTAATCAATCTATAATATCAGTATTGAATTAGACATTTATATAAGGAAACGAACCCACGAGTCCTGCTCAAATGCACGTATTCGAAGTATATGTCTTAAGTTTGGATTTGAAACTGTTGTTGTTATCGCTAGGAGAAAGATCATTCCACAAATTGGTTGAAGACTATGGAATATGTTGACAGAGCTTCAGAACAGCTATATCTTAACGCAGACGAGCACATATACAACGAAATGACGACATACCAACATAGAGCGTTGATTCAATTAATTTGGCAAAATTGTCTTTTCAGAGATAAAATCATCTTAATATTGTGGTTTCTATCGCGCTATTGACCCCTATGGCCTTCTATAGAAGACTTCCTGATCTAACATAGCGCGTTGATTACATTAACTCGACAAATATGTCCTTTCAGAGATAAAAACATTGGAATGATCACAAAATCGTGACATAATTGTTAATATCGCGGTTTCATCACGCTTTTAACCCATATGTTGCTTCCATAGCAGCTTCCTGATCCTTCTGTCAACATAGGTTGTTCTAGATTTCGGGACGATCCTTTCAAACCATATCGACAAAAACGTAATTTTTGAGTTTTAATATTTTGAAGATGTTCATAAAGAGTTTTTCAAAATGTAACTGTAGTTAGGAGAGTAAGTTACTGGTACATCGACCAGAAGGTAACGGGTTCGATCCCGGAGTTTTGCCGAAGGAATTTTTAGGGAGTTTCAAGTCTGGTGTAAGACGCTGAGTCTGGCGAGGAACAAAAGTCTGGTCGTCCGGATGGGGTGAACACCGAGGCTTCGTGTATTCCATTAGCATCACGTTAAAGATTCCCTGGCAGTTTAAAATCGAAATAAGAGTAATTCACGACGCCGTTGCCAAGGCAACAATTCTGTCATGCGCATTCACACTGCACACCATGATCAGCAGCTCGGTTGGTGAGGTAAGAAATAAGAAGCTACGCGCTACCCCCCCCCCCACCAATTTCAGTCTTTATCCACTTACTATAAAATGTGCTAGATAATAAAATAATCATTAAAGAACAGCAAGAGTACATCAAATTATATAATGTTTAAAAGCACTATAGCAACATTTATTTTAAAAACAATGTAATAAAACGTTAATCATAAAACATGTTTACAATACTTGCCTTTATCCATAACAATAATTTAATTTAAATTTCAAATATATCAAAATCTCGCTGGATACTCTACTCTAACCGTCGGTACTAAAGCTGTATAATTTGTTAATCCAGGGTTTTTCAAACTTGGCATTAACGAACCTTTGGGTTTCCCCCAGCTGTGATCCCACATATTGAGAGAGAGAGAGAGGGGGAGAGAGAGAGAAGGGGAGGTAGTGGTATGGTAGCGCCCAATCATCTCTAACACAGGGACCGGTGATTTCGGAACTTACACATTTCCTAAATTTATTCGCTTGCCGATAAGGATCATTAGAAGAGGAATGAACCCCGGAAGGAGGGAGAGGAGGGGGCGACTGAGAAGACCCACTAGGTAGAGCAGGCCACGAGACCGGAGCCACAACAAATACCTCAGTGACAAACCCGGCGTCTCTTCAACATCATCAATCCAATCGGAATAGAAGAATAAGACGTAAAACCCCATTTCATTTCTCAGCAGCTCTCTCCCCCACCTCTAGAACTAAACAACCGACTAAAATCCGATCAAGGCTTTCACGGTATGAAATTTATATGTGGTATGTGATGACGAAATTATGTACAGCACAAATTAGCCCAATTGATAGCAAATCCTTGAGTGTAATCGGACTATTCGTTCAATTGGGACGAAAAACTAAAGTACCGTGTACACATTAGCGTGCACGTAAAACAAGGCTTTCGCGGTATGAAATGTATATATGCGATTTTTTGGTATGTGATGAAGACATTATGTACAGCACAAAATTTAATTAGCCCAATTGATAGCAAATCCTTGAGTGTAATTGGACTGTTCGTTCGATTGGGACGAAAAACTGAGGTACCGTGTACACATTAGCGTGCACGTAAAACAAGGCTTTCGCGGTAGAAAAACTGAGGTACCGTGTACACATTAGCGTGCACGTAAAACAAGGCTTTCGCGGTATGAAATGTATATGTGCGATTTTGTGGTATGTGATGAAGAAATTATGTACAGCACAAAATTTAATTAGCAAACTTGATAGCAAATCCTTGATAGTAATCGGACTATTCGTACGGATGGGACGAAAAATTGAGGTACCGTGTACACATTGTGTAGACGTGACGTTAAATTACATCCCATTCTAATGACATGATGTCAAATGGGTCTTCTGAGTTATTCTGTCGAATTTTTTGATCAAGACGAAGAGACAACTGGAAAAATTATTTTACGTTTGGGCTGTACATATACATTTAGCTAAGGCATCATATTGTAGGCAGTAGTAAATGTGAACATCTGGACGGAATACAATTTTACTTTATAAACGTACCACTGTTGCTTGAAATATAACGCTAATCCAGAATGATGATATATCACAACGGTAATATGACTGGTAAGATTGTATTGTTTAGGCGGACCAATTCGACCTTCTGATTCACAGTGTTATATGGTCGATAACAATTTGCCAGGTCGTTTCGGCGGTGTAATTCGACCTTCTAATTATCAGTGGGAATATGGTCGACAACAGTTTATCAGGTCGTTTCGGCTGTGTAATTCGACCTTCTGATTATCAGTGGTAATATGGTCGACAACAGTTTACCAGGTTGTTAGCCGAATTTCGACTCTCTAATTAACAGTGGTAATGCAGTCGACAAGATTTTACCAGATTTTTTGAGTAGCCGGATTCGACATTTTAACCAAAGGGATAATTCAGTGGTAATATGGTCAGCAAAATTTTACCATTAGATAGTTTTAATCGGAGTAATTCGCCTTACTGGCCACAAAAACACTAATTCGCAGTGGTATGATCGATAAAATTTTACCAGATTACTAAGGCGGAGCAATAGAAACACTAATTCACAATGGTAGCATGGTAGACACGAATTTATCGTTGGATCGTTTAGGCGGAGCAACTCGACCTTCTAACCAGTACGTTGTCATTGAGCCCTTTCCCTAAAACATAAAAAATCACATATTGAAATGCGTTGTGGACATAGAGAGAGTTTAACGTCCATTCGATACAAACTAGTTCATTTCGGGTCTAACATTCGGTTGCGCACAGGGGGAGGAAATCGGAAGACCTGGAGAAAACCCACGAGATTGGACAGAAGACCCACTCCTTGTCACGTACAAGCCGGGAATCGAAACCACGCCACTTGACACAGTGACAGACCTTGTAATTTCATGCGCACGCGTTAAACATTCACCCACCCAACCCCGAGTTCAGCTGTCTATTCGTTCGGATGGGACGAAAAACCGAGGTCCCGTGTACACATTGGCGTGCACGTAAAATATCCCTTGGCAGTTGGAAATCGATATAAGAGTAGGCCATACCGCCGCTGTATAGCGTATGTCCTTGTTCATTAGCCCAGTCGGAGCGTTAAACCTCATTTCATTTTCATTTTTCATGTGTACGACAATGTATTTCGTACTATACGAAGGACTAGAATAACTAACCCACACAGGAGCCAGGTTGCGTCAGCCTTGAGAAGTGAAGACTGCGGTTGAAGAATCTGGAGGATACTCCTCTGCCCTTACCGGATGGTAAGATTTCCAAATAACAAGCATGTATATTGTCATGTTGATACCAATCGAATTGACAGAGTTTCTGTTGTTCTAAAAGAACACGACGAGCAAAGAACAAGAATTTGTATGGAAATGTATACAATCAGTTTTTGATTTAAAATAACCCCAGAATGTAGCCTTTTTCTTCTGAGCAGTTGTCGGGTCGAATAATGGAGATATGTACTGGTAAAACGAAACGGGCTTTATACAGCATTTTTTCAGCGATGTGGCTGTATCTGATTATTTTGATTTTCTAATATGGCCTACAGATTGTGTGCACAAAATTTGCCTATGTGTAGTTGTTACAAAAGGTCTTTGATCTACATCCGAGTTATGGCCCCATTACGGACAAGTTAGTACATAAAAAATAAACATTGTAAATACCATTAATGTCTTACGTGTCTGGCTTTGTACATACCATTTATATAGTGGTGATTACCACTACTGTGTGTGGTGTATTTCATATACCTGGTTATTACCTAGGCCTGCAATATCTTTGAAGTAATAATACACTCACCTTGACTTCGATGATGCCGCGAATTGCAATTATAAAATTGCAACATTTCTCCATTCCAGCTTTTGTAGTGTCACTAATTTGTATTTTGTGTGCTAGAAAAATAAACAGTAAATAAACAAAACATTTAATGTGATAATAATTTGAAATTAAGAAATTGTTGTCCTTAAATCGGCATTATGTAAGATTATATAAAGCTGACAGTACTCGCTATAATATTTTTTAAAAAATAGATAATGTAAAGGGAATATACTGAAAATGTCAGTCTAATTACTTCACTCTGGGCCAAGAAATCCTCATTTAATGACACCGTAGTCTCGATTGCCATTGTTACCGTTGTTAAGATAATAAATAAAGTCTCGATTATCCACTTTTACGGTTAATCATCAACGGACGTTGAACCAAAGATCGGATTCAAATTTGTTGAAAATCGGACCCATCAGATGGCATTGAGGGATGATTATGTTCTTGTCATGTTAAAGATACATTACGGGAGATTCGGTAACGAGTTGGCAGTTCTCACTATAATAGTTAAAAACTAGATAATGTAAAGGCAATTTGCTGAAAATTTCATTCAAATTGATCCACTATGAACCGAGAACTAAGCGACTGGAATTTCCCCCTGGCCTCGGTCATCATTACTTAAGTCAGTACAATAAACAGCATAGTCTCGATTATCCATTTAATCGTTAAATCGAAAAGGAAAGTTATGCAGTAAATCGGCTCACAATACACTAAAGATCGCAGGCTAGCGCTGCCATCTAGAGTTGATTATGGCCTGGATAGGTTAATTAATGTCTAATTAATAATTTAGATAACATTTCAGGCCTAAAGAAAGACCTGCAATAGACAGATTTAGCTCTTGCATAATGTCTAATTAATAGTTTATATAAAAATTAACGCCTAAAGAAAGGCCTGCAAGTAAAGCGTTTTGTGCAAAACATTGCTTAGATACAGTCAAGCTGTATTCGTCGAGTATGTTCATAAACTATTCTACCCTATGGAGGCGAAAGGACTAATCTAGAAGTAGGGGTGTGGGCTGTGTCTACTTTCATTTTTGTTTGTGTGGATTTGGGGTTGCAACTAGTTTTTGACTATTTTGTGAAAACAAGCCAATATGACGCCTAGTTACACAGGAATATATCAATGACTGTAATAGGCGTCGGTATGAATAAAAACTCACGTAAACTCGAGGATTCCATTCTTGACGCTGTGTTAACTGTGTCGCCAAACACACAATATCTAGGCATTTTATTACCGACCACACCCGTCACTACTGGACCTGAAAAGGTAATAACAACTGTGACCTGAGAGATAGCTCCGATAAAAAGGCTTTAGTAACAGATTCAATCATTGAGAACCAACTCCGAATTTCTTCACGAACATTCCAGCAATTTCAGTTAGATGAGGGAGGGTGAGAAATGGGGTTTAACGTCCACTCGATACAAACTAGATCGTTTTGGTTCAATATTATTTCAATAATTCGCTTGCGCATAGGAGCTTTTAGCAGTGGGAGGAAACTGGAGGACCCAGAGAAAACCCACGAGGTTGGACAGATGACCCTATTCCTTTTCACGTACAAGCGGAATCGAAACCACGCCACTTGATTCAATGACAGACGTTATGATCCAACACGCACGCGTTAACCATTCGAACTCTAACTGGCGGTCACCTCGAGTTTGCGGTCGTGATTTCGATCCCTGGTGTGAGCGTATGAGGCATAGAGATAGGAGTGCCTTTTCATTTTCAACCCTGTGGGTTTAATCCAGGCACTCCGGTTCCTCACTCAGGAAAGACCCCTGTGCATGCGCTAAGCCTAACAAAATAAGACAACTTGTCTGCGATATCACCATCGGTGAAAGCGGACGTTAAAAATAAATTCAAGAAAAAGAACATAATCTTGGAGATTAGTCAACGGGTACTTTGTTGATAACCTACAAATGTTGACGTAGTCGCCATTACGTAGTACAAATGGAGAGGCAATAATGTCGGCCGCAAACAACGCATGAGTAATATACTTAAGTTTTTCGCTGAATGAAGATGGGTAATAATTAACTTTATTGTGGAATTATTAGGCAAATTGGATCCATAATTTGATCAGTCCTGGCTTTAAGAAATATAATACTTTAAGATCAGTCTATATGGTCGAAGGATATAATGATGCTCCAGGGAACGTATCTTTTAACCTAGTTGTTACTTTAGTAATGGATTCTTATCAGACTCTGTCCTTTATCCATGTACTGTCTGATCCTATACACAATTAATATTTCCTCCGCATCCGTAACAAGGCTATTTTGGAATCATTAACGTCTACTTTTCGCCGTGATTCTTCTTTGTTCGCCAAAAGGAATCATTTCTTGCCACATCCGACACAAATTTATAATAATCCAACACTATTTTCATGTAGAATTTAGCGATCCAAAATAAAAATACAAACAAGATTCATCTGAATAGATCCGTCATTATGAAACTCACATCTGCGCAGACAGCAGTAATATTGATTTGCATTTAATGGTTTTCGTTTTTACTCTAATTTCAAATCAGTTATGTTCGGCGAAATACGTGAGAGGTCTCAATCGAATGGCAATCTCTAGCGTCTGGTTAGTCCAGTTTACACCCGCCGGTAGTGTTTATTGCGCATGCTCTTCGGATACGAATATGTTGTCTCCATTTGACATGTGGAATATGTCTAGCCTCGTTCTTCGAATCCCTTGTTACAAATGGCGCTGAAACGCATTGCGGTACACGATTCATGTACCAATTGTAAAATAATTAAATTTGTCTTAAATATTGGATATCAGATGCTTATCTTTTTCCGGTAAGATCACAACATCAATATTGATTTAAATTGACAAATAATTCGTGTTTCAATGTCGATGATTTTAGATGATATTGAGTTAGAGACTTCGCTACTTTAATATATTTTTAAAGCTGATAACTGTAGATGTTGAAAATAGATAAGCGAAAAATAAACAGCTGGGAAAATACGTAGGTTGGTTACTATTTCTAGCGTTAGCGTCAATTGAAGAAACTATATTTATGAAAAGGGAATTAATATAGGATACGTTGGAAGTTATCCACGTCTTAAAAGCCCAATTTGTTTTATGTCAGCCTGAGTTAGCCCCAATATTGAAGTGAAGTCATGTGTTATGGCACGTAATAATATCGTAATTACGTGGATTTGAAACGCACCATAATTTCAGAAATAATGCCTTGGCTGAATTTTCGCTAGCCCAGTGAACAGAACTACATATGTAATTGCTGCCAGATGAACTTATAGTAAAGGACGATCACACAGTAGACTTATTACAATTCCAGTGTTGACTGCGTTGTAATGCTAGGATGTAAGAGGATTTGGGCGAGTTTCTAAGATAGAGGGGTGGGGCGTAAAAGAATTAACTAATTTGCGCAGCATGCAAAAACAATCAATAGTAGTAATCGTGCCCCAAAAGTTCCCGCATCCTATATTACTAGCTGTAATATTATAGTAGGGTGAATTTGGACTCAATAGTAAATGTTTAATACTTCATGCTAATCCGCACAGTATTACATAATTCAATCAATTATATTTTAATGGATCTTAATCCACCTTAATTACCCACTATTTATATCTACTTCATATTGTCTTATATATTTCATTAATCACCTGTCTCCAGTATTCTTTGTTTTAAACTTTAAATTGAGCTTATAAATTATAATTAACGTCAACGGGCTATAGCGTTTAGTTACCAGGGTATATTGTTTGTAGATTTATAGGATTAATGCCCTAGGCGATGCATGGGGATATATAGACCCAAAATGACAGAATTTGAAAAGAGCTGGCTACACACGTGTCTTGGGAGATCAACTTAGATCACATACCTAAGGACAGACCTTATTTACCTGTATTTGGAGACATAAGTTTATGTCAATTCCCATATCCACATTGGAGCTTATTTACTATTAAGCATTGAACCAATAATTGTTATATTAATTGTCTGCTATGATTTATGTTGATTACTGTTTACCAAAGAATATAGAGAACTATTAACAACCATCAACAGTCTTGTCTTCATTTAATCAACAACGAGGATTCCAGAGAATACACTAAAAGTGCACTTGTACAAATTTATACCAGTCCAAAATTACGTCATTTTAATTCACATATATTCCTATTAAAATTCTCTTTTAACAGGGTTAGAGATTAAGAATATTATGAGCTTTTCTCGTAATTAAACCCATTGTTAAACCTTAATTTTATAACTTGACAGAGTTACCTTAAGTGATTACGACAGACAGTAAATCGGCAGGGTAATTGAGTGAAGTCTCTGAGGCAGAACTATTGCTAGATTAAAACAATAGGCTGGCTAATCAAATTAAGGCTGGCAGGTTAATTGGGATTGAGCAGTGACACTTAAATTAATCTGTATGCTGACCAATCGTAGGCCCATATACATTCCATGTCATGGAAACCTCAACTGTATTCTGGGACACATGAATTAGGTATATAAGTTCATGTTGCCTCTGAGGTTCTCATAATATACTTTACCAACGATTAAAACAACTGTCTTCTTGTCATTTAAGGTAAGCCAAAGTCAATGTAATATTTCTACTTGTCCTCTATTTTGAAAATTGAACTTGTTCGTTTATATAATTATTCGCCTTTAGTTATCAAGTTTTATATATTAATTATTACGTTTTCGTTCAAATGTTGCGATAAGTATGCACGTTTTTATTTATTCTACAAAAGCAATTAAATCGATATCATCGATGCCGTAGAGTAATCCATAAACGCCTTTGCTTATAAGCTGTGTTGCAAGTAATAGTCAATTACGGTATAGTAATAATTAATAGTGTCGATATTCCATTTCATTATTATCGACTCGAACATATATGACGTAATATATGAAGACATTTAAATCGTGCACATGTAAATAGTGCCTCTTCACATGCCGTAGACTGGAATAGCAAGTCTGCTTCTACAGCGCTTGATATCCGTGTCTACGTATAAGCGAGTATCCCAAATATTTGTTTAAACCCCCAATTTATAATTACTTCTTGTTTATCTAGTTTATATATTTGTTCTATTGCTCTTTTGTTACTTGTACTTATAATTACGTTATAGATAATATACTTTACCAACGATTAAAACAACTGTCTTCTTGTCATTTAAGTTAATTAAGAAACCCCAGGAAACCCCCAAAACCAGACTTGCACAATATTGTTGCTGTGTCCTGTCTTGTATGCAGCTACAATTGATACACTATTGGAGGCTTTGCGCAGGTAAAAGTAGGTTCACTTGCAAAATTTTCAAAACATATCACCACGGTTTGTATGGAAATAAGTAATTTTGTTACAAATAGTGAAGAGTGGAATACTGAAATCTTATCTTACCGAACAGTTTTCGGTATTTTCGAGGTGAAATGAAATCACGTGCGTGTTCTAATTCTATTTCTGCAGCCATTTTAAAAATGGACAAATTTCGCATAGCAGTTGGAATTTATCAATTCATGTAAAATTATGAGGTAGGGTTTCACCTTTATTTCAATGGGAAATGGTTTATTATATGTTAATTGGAAATTAAGAAAGTTATAGGCCAGTAACTTACTCAAAGGAACCCATTAGAACGAAACCGGGTAGGGGGGGGGGGGGGGCAATACCAAATATTTTGTCAAACTGGTAGCACACCGTTTTTGAGACAAAGTTAGCGTCACTAATTTTGATACCAATATACCAAAAAAGATCATTATTTAATTTGTTGGATGAGGAATATGAGATACAGTATGGATGGTATGTCATGATGTAGAGCGCACATCTATAAGTTGAATTTGAATTAGAGAATATAACTTTACGGTCTATCTAACTAAGTGCATGAATTTACATAATCAATTCATAAACATAAATACAACATTCAATGTTTCATAATGACTGAACGATAATGTCATATAAAGGATCCTGTTTTGAAGACTTTTTTTATTGTACAAAGCTGTACATACGACCGCTGGAACATACTCCTCGCAGAGTTTCGTTTGATTAGACCTAATCCCACCCAAACTCTGTCATACTCAGCGCAAATGTCTGTCCCAAATTATGACTGGTTAACAGTCCGATTAAAACAACCAGTACATAACGACGTAACAAAATCAATCGGGATTAACCAGAGCTCTAAATATGTTACCGTAAAGTGCCTGGTGACAAACGCGGCTACATTAAGTCAGAACGCGCGAAATGTATTACGCTCTATTAGCTAGTACATATCACTGAGAAACTAATTGTTAGATAAACAAAGCTATCCAAAATAGC